CTAACAAAAGTTGGATCATCTTGGTTATTACACCAAGTGAACCTTCCCCCATTCAAAGGCAGATTAATCAAACCTAAAGACTGAATAAACTGAGAGAAAATCCTCATAGAGAACCTATTCTGTGCTTTACCCACCTTCTCATCTTCACACAAATAAACATTAAAATCTCCTCCAACACAAACCGGCAGGTTCTGTCCAGAGATGAACACACTGAGTTCTTCAAAAAACTCTCTTTTCTTCCTCCACTGAAGGCCCATAAACATTAATGAGGACACTTCTGAATTGATTCAGCCTGAATTTCCCTACAACAGCAATGAATCTTCTGTTAATGCAGTGATTTTCCATCTCAAACACATTGTCATCCCAACAACATAATAAGCCCCCTGAAGAACCAATAGCTGGAGATTCAATAACACTCTGAAGATTATTCAGTCCATTCCTTCTCAGAAAAGACCTTTGAACCTTCTCTACTTTAGTTTCTTGTAACCAAAGAAAAGAAGGATATGAGCTAGAGACCAATCTCTGGACTGCTTTATGTTTTTCTCTTTTCCCCAAGCCCCTAACATTCCATGAAATTATTGCTAATTTGTCTTTCATTAAAATTTCTTGAGAACCTGACTTCCCCACTATGGCAACTCAACTGGCCAAATTCAAGCCCTGTTCTAATTTAATTATTTTGTCCAGAAAAGCTTCCTTCCCCTTAGTAAAAGAGACCCCCAAAATCTGACTCACTTGCCATGTGGCTACTGCTTCATCTAAAAGCTCTGAAAATTCTGTAGAAGAGGCTGTAGAAATATCGACATGTTCTAGAGCTTCTCTTACCAATGATCTTCTTGCCCTTCTTTTGCAAAATCCTGATTTGGAATTAATCAAATGACTGTCCGTAACACAACCCTCTGGCTCTCCATCGAGACTACTAATCCCAGCTTTCTCTACTAAATTTGTCTCCTCTCTGCCTGGAGAATTAAGCTCTGCTGCTGTAGAAATCTTTTGTATTGGCGTGCAGACCTGATCACAAACTTTGTTTTGAACTGGAACAACCTCTGTACCATTAGTTTCCTTATGAATCTCCCCATGCCAATGTATTCTCTCCCTCCTATAAATTTTGCTGTAACTGACCATTCTCCTTCTCTGTAGAGGCTCATTTTTTGTGGATAGCGAGCTTCTATGCACCACCATCGCTTTATTTATTAACTGGCTCTTCAAACAATTCGAGTTAGGAACTATCAGCGAAAAATTAGGATCAGGAACCTCAATATCTACACTGGCAGACGAAGCTGAAATGCAACTGGTCCCTTTATTCTTGTTTTTAACACTGCTAGCCTCTATAATTCCCCTGTTTTTAACCAGTTTACCAAATTTGTTAATTGTATATCCTGGCCCAGAAGGAAAAAACTTTGATGCCTCCGATCCAGTCAGCTCATTGTCAACAGATAAGGCCTCCGGCCCATTAGCCGAAATATTTGAATTTCTGATGCCCAAACCTGCAAACTCACCTACTATGGTATTCCCACCATTCTGAACACCTGACAACCCTCTTTTAATGCCTTTCCCATGTTTAGAAAGTCTTGGAAAGTCCATTTCCCCATCAGACTGTGCTGTGCCGAAAGAGACACCATCATCATTCCACAAGTCAACCTTCTGTCTGAACATCTCTGCTGATTTGACTGAACTTTCCTCATATTCTGACTTCTCCCCGACTCTACCTTCCTCAGACCCCAACTCGCCATACTGTTTCCCATCTGCACCGATCACCGGAAAAAATTTGAAAAAAGGATTTGCATCTTCCCAGCCCTCTCCAACTTTGATCTTAATCCGATACGATCTGCCATAGGATCCAAAATTAGTGAATTCTGGAACATCGAAAGGACTTGCAACTCGCAAAAGAATCCTCACAAACGAGAGATCCTCCCTGTTCTTAGTGGACTCATGGATTTCTACCATACTTCCCCATCTTCCAGTAGCTCGTTCCAAGAAGGATTCATCCCAACATAACAGAGGAACCCCACTTAACTCAAGCTGACAATAAGCCATTGGAACACCTTCTTCATTCAGTAAAGGTGCTAATCTATCAAAACAAAAGTTTATTACATCTCTCTTCTTTGTCCATGCCTCCATCATTTCTTCGAGAGATTTGAAAATGATAACACAGGAATTACGGGCATAACCCCAACCAACAATCTGAACTTCGTAACCATTAGTAATGAAGAACTCCTGAACTGACTTAATATCTAAAGAGAGCTTAAAAATCCCTGTTAAAGATCTTTTGACCCAGTTCCGATTCTCAGAGGGAATATGCATTTCCATAACATTCTTCAATGCTTTCTCCCTTTGATTCCCAACAGAATGTGTCTCCCTATACCCCAAAGTATTGTTCCTCATATCCTCAGTCAGTAAAGCCTCTTTGTACGATCTGTCATCCCTAACACTCCTACTGGAAAAATCAGCCTCTTTCAACTTTGAAGGACCTGATGTAATCGAAACTGGACCCAACTGAACTGGACTATTCTTGGCCACATTCCTTGGACGAACTTCATTGTATTTTGCAACACCAACTGAAATCCTTCTCCCATCTATCAGTGAATCATTTAACATATCAATTGCTCTCCTCAAACCAGATTCCCTCTCAAACTGAACAAAAGCGAAAGTGGAAAATCTATATTTTGGGTTTTTAGTTTCTTTCGGGATGAAAACTCTCTCCACAGTTCCCTGAGACGAAAAAATATCTCTAAGCTCACGCCGAGAAACTCTCCTAGTTAGTATTTTAATATAACACTAATTCTTAGAAAGTTAGATAGATAAGGATAACTACTAATTAGTTTAGTTTAAATTAAATACTTGTTCTCACCTATTGTATATATTTATTAAACTTGTAACCTATTTTTAATGAATATACGACAGTGAAGTATTTCATTTTTCCTTACCTTTGTCATTTGATTTATTTCGCCACTTAATTCCTTTTACTTCACTTTACATTAGCCCTATTTTCAACACATATACCTATATTGCAAGGAAAATGGAAAAGAAGAGAATTTTTCATTACCACAACCAACCAAAATGATATGCATCCATAAAACAACTATGTGCAAAAAATGCTTTTCAATTGTGGCATGAAGTAATGAACAGGCAAGTCATTAATGTCAGGATAGCGTATGTAATTCTCCTCCACTTAAATAAGTGAAATTTACAGTCCTGCCTGTCCAATGTTTACGTGAATGTGTAGGTGCACCCTAATTGTGGTATTGCGCACAGAATAGGAATCCGTTGGTCATTTCTTATATTTGTTCAATTGTGCTATCCTGTTTGTGGCTTACCTTAATCATTCTCAAAATAGGAATTAAATTTTCTACAGAAAATACCAAGGAGCTTTTATGAATCATTTAATTTCTTCATCTAGAACGGACATTCCATGCATTTTTTGGCATAGCTTTTTCTTTTGACTGAATTTATTAGTTCACAGTTCTTATGCTTAAATAAGTGAAATTTAGAGTCCTGCCTGTCCAATGTTTACGTGAATGTGTAGGTGCACCTTGATTGTGATATTGTGCACAGAATAGGAAGCTGTTGGCCATTTCTTATATTTGTTCAATTGTGCTATCCTGTTTGTGGCTTACCTTAATCAGCCTGGTATTAAATTTGGCTAGAGCAGATACAAAGGAACTTTTATGAATCATTTAATTTCTTTTGGTTGTGAATTTATTGGTTCAAGTTTTTATGCTTAAATACCTAAATGAGAACTACAAGAAGGTAAAGCATGAGAGTTAACAGACAAATAAGAAAATACGAGGGTAGGAAGGGAAGAGAGATAAAGAGGGGGGGAGAGAATACTAACCAATGCCTAAAAAAGGATGAACCAGCCAATGAAGGTCCTATCCAGTTTTGTAACCAGAATCTGCAAGTTCACATATAAGCTTTTGCAAGTGTGTCACACAAATAAGTTTACAAAGAGGAAAAAGTAGTATGGTATCATCAGTTCATCTTTACAAAGATGCTTAACCAAAAAAACAGTATGAAATGTCTTAAAAGGATGCTGCTTTAAATATCACAAAAAGCTAGATACCACCTGCTTGAGAAAGTTGGCCTTGCCATTTCTAAAGCTAGTTCATTGCACACAAATCAATACTGGCAGCAAATGAATTACCACAGAATTCGAACATACCTTCTCAAAGAGGATCTAGCAAAGGATATTTGCAAAACAGGGACAAGCACAGTCTCAGGTGGATAGATAAATGTTTTCTCATGTACTGACAAGGGATCTGCTGATCCCTTATGCTCTCTTCTTCCCATTGTATAAGCGTCAGTAGACTGGTGCTTGTGTAAATTCCTGATATGATCAGGATTTGGGTTCAGTGACTTATCACTTCTATATTTTGAGCATCCAAAACTAACTTTGACATAGCAGTTTTGGTCCCTCAACTGGCAAACAGAACTTTGAGAAGTATGATATGGTGGACTATTTTTTCCAGAGTTGCTGAAAAGAAAAAAATTAACAGCAGAAGGAAAATATTAATCCATGCACGATCATTATAGAGGGTACGAAAAGTACAAATGAACAGATTATAAATAAAGACCACCTGAGATAGACTTGCTTGACAAGATCGTTCGGACAACATCCTGTGAGCCTTCCACACATTCCATGAGGGGAGATTATCACTATAACCAAACATTAGAATGAACACAATCACAAAGGTTCTCAATGCAGCAAAATCTGCATAACTGACCTTTTAAAATCAGGTTGAAATAATGGATAGCCTAGTATTAAAAAAAAAACAGGAAATTTAACTAACAAATCATACAAGATGACATCTCTCTCACTCTTACACATACAGAAGCACTAGCAAACCTTTTCAAAGTCACTTTCAAAATATGCAATAGAGAAGAGCAATCCCAGGAAGCAGGTAACTGGTATATTAGAAGTATGCTCCAAACTTTCTCATATCAAGTTAAAATAGGTATAAGAACATATTGAAGGGAAAATCATAAAACTAAACTGCAAACTGCTAGAAGCGTAAGATTCCAAATTTCACGAACTTTGAGGATATTATAGCATGTACAAAAATAGATTCTTCTGTAGCAGCAAAGATGAACTCAATTGTAGGCTGTGCTCTCCTGCAAAGTAATAAAAGAAATTATTATTACATAAGTGAAGAATAGCCAGAAGAAAACTACAGCTAGCAGCTAAGTTATGAAACAACATTTTTGCGGCTTTTCTCTTCATCTGTTATTAACTTGTATAATTCTGAAATACAATACTTTCTCTTATATTATCAACATTATGGGTATTTATACAAGTAAAATTCAGCCTACAAATTTGTAACACTCCCCCCAAGTTGGAGCATAGATATTAACTGTGCTCAACTTGTTTTTTTTTTTTTGGAAAGAATAGGGAGACCTCATTAAAAAACCCCTTCATACTCAACGAAATATGAAAGTTTCGTCGAGCATTGGAAGGAGGAAAAGAGTGTCATAAATTTTATTGAACCATTGAAAATGACAACTTAGATTACATCAGAAACATTCAACCACAAAAACCAAACGAAACAAAACCCCACATAACTACACCATAGGGCCTACACACAACCCCTCTCATCCAATGCCTTCTTTAGCCAACTTATCTTTATCCCTAATAACCTCTAAAATTCCATTCAACAACAAACACAGCTGATTCGGACAACCCCCCAAATTCTTAATCCAATTAACCACAAATGCATGCGAAGGGCCTCACTGGCTTCTCCTTAATTAGAGCTGCTGGAAATGTAGTATTAATGATTTTCGAAGATTGCTTCATTGAGAAGCGTGAAGAACGAGAAATCAGATACTCTCGCAGAGTGGTTCTCCTTAGTCGAAGCTTGGTCAGAGAGTTTGGTATTGGATTGTCGCTTGTTTTAATCCTTTTGCTGGAGGTGTAATTAGAGATAAGGTGATTAGTCTATGACTTTGGATGAGGTTATATGAGGCTAAGGTGTTTGTTGTAATGGTGTATTTCACCATAGGAGGTTATTACGTGTAATCTTTTGTATTGGGTATTATTATTAATAAACTTTGAGGTACTTTTTTCTTCCTTCCAATGTTCGTTAACATACTTCTTAATATGTGAACGAATACGAAGGGAGTTTTTAATGAGACCTCCAACTTCTATAAAAAAAAATTAACCACAACAAGACTATCACACTCAACAGTAAGACTTCCTTTGCAACCCCATTGAGAATCAAAGAAAAGAATCAAACCCTTAATAATGGCCAACATTTCAACAGTTGTAGGAGGCCCTTTACCTACAACCTCAGAGAATGAAGCCAACGTAGAACCCCTTGAATCTCCCTCCTATGCCACCTTTCATCCAATCATCCGTGACAGCACCATCCACATTTAATTTGAAGAAACCTTCAGGAGGCGAAACCCACCAAACCCTATTGACCACCTTATTCCCCTAACTTCCACATCTATCTGCAACTGAAGGATCCCCCATAAGACAATCGAAGAACCCCGAAAACTCTTTGTATTTTGCAGTGTACCATGCCAGCAGTCTGTATCTAGCTAGGAAAAACAGATTGATATATGATCCAAAGACCCACCTTCAAACACTATCTTGTTTCTGTACTTCCAAATAGACCACAAAACATCCCCGAGAATAACTTTCCAAATATCAGAGTTCAAAACCAATCCCCACCAAACTTGCAGGAAAAAATCAGGGCCAAAATGTAAACATGATTGAACATTCCAAATACTTAAGAATTTACACAACCAGGAAACATTACATGTAAAAAATAGATGTGAAATCGTTTCAGGAAAGGACCCACAAAACGGGCACAACGAATCAACTAAACCTGGAACCTTTCTCTTCACTAACTCGCACTTCACAACCAACTTTTTGTTTAAAACCTGTCATAGGAAAGATTCTACCCTAGGAGGAACCAGGCCACTCCACACCATCAGACTCCAAACTTGTTCAACCCCCACTATCTCGAACCAACCCTTCAAACATGACCTAACCAAATATACCCCATCACCACAACCTTTGCAAAATAAGTAATCCATACGACTGTGATCTACATTAACAGAATCCAATAACGTCATAAATTCAATCCATATATCCACTTCCCAATCTGCCAAATTCCTTCATTTTATATCCCAAATCCACTTTTCAGAGCAAAAGGAACCAAAATCTGAAATTTTCCCCACTTTATTCACTGATAAAGAATGCAGTCTAGGAAACCTAACCTTAAGCGACACTCTATCAATCCATACATCATGCCAAAATGAAATAGATTTCCCATCCTCGACATTCAAAACCAATTTATTCCGAGCTACCTCACCAAGCGCATCCATTACCATCCAAGTTTGGGCAACATTCTTCCATAACCAAGAAGCTTGGGTTGGAACCACCCTAAAAAACAAATCATTACAGTCCAATTTATATTTACAGCAGATCAGCTGTTTCCATCCAAAATCCTTTTTCAGTAGAAAATTTCCAAATTCATTTGCCTAATAAAGCTCTATTAACTAGCTGTAGATTAGGGATCCCCAGCCCACCACAATTCTTAGGCAAACACACAGAAGACCACTTCACCCAATATATCTTTTTCCTCTCACCCGACCCTCCCCACAGAAATCTTGCCATAATAGAATTAAAACTCTCAAAATTGAGGCAGGAATTTTAAAAATGGACAAAAAATAAATAGGCACAGAGCTCAACACCGACTTAATAAGCACGGTTCTGCCAGCCAACGAAAGCGACGAAGCTTTCCATCCGGATAATTTAGATTTAAATCTCCTCACCACTGGTTCCCACAAGGCTGCTGAATTTCTCTTAGCACCTAGAGGAATACCCAAATAATCGGATGGGAAAGAACCTACTGATCAACCAATAGAATCAATCCATTCCTTTTACACCCCTCCTCCACATTAATCCCAAAAATCTTATTTTTAACCAAATTTATCTCGATACCCGATAATGATTCAAAAATCAACAATATCGTCCTAACATTCTTCAATTGATTGATCGAAGCTCCACAAAATATCAACAGATCATCAGCAAATTCTAAATGGGAAAGATTAAAAGCTTGCCCATGATTTCCTATGGTAAAACCAGCAAACCCCCCCAAATTCACCGCTTTTGACAACATATGGCTAAGAAGCTCTCCCACTAGGTTAAAAAACAGGGGTGATAGGGAACACTCTTGACGAAGACCTTTAGATGTTTTAAACTCCTCCGTGGGTGAACCGTTTACAAGAACAGAAACCGAAGTAGTTGAAATACACTTTCGAATCCATGAAATCCACTTTTCACCAAACCCCATTAGTTCCATGACCTTTATAAGCAAAGAGTAGTCAACCGAATCCTATGCTCTCCTAAAATCAACTTTGAATGCAACACCGACTAAACCTTTTTTCCTCCAATAATCAATACCCTCATTAGCCATGAAAGAACAATCCAGAATTTTTCTTCCCGGAATAAATGCGAACTGTGAAGACCCTATTAAATACTCCATGCACCCTCTAAGTCTTCTAGCTAACGTCTTCGATAAGATTTTATAAAGACCCCAAACGTGAATAATGGGACAAAAATCATCAATGCAATCAAGACCCACTTTCTTAGGAATCAACGTAATAAAAGAATGATTAATTCCTCTCTCCCATTGTTTTCCAGCAAAAAAATCCCTGCAAAATCTCATTACCTCCTCCTTAATATAAGTCCAAATTTTTTTGAAGAATCCCAAATTTATCCCGTCTGGCCCAGGGGCTTTATTCGGATCCGCCTCAGACACAATGCCCCATATTTCCTCCTCTGTAAATTCCACTTCCAACCTCTTAGCCATATATGGAAAAATCTTAACAAAGTCCACATTAATCTCCACTGCCTCTAACGTTTTCCTTGAATTATAAGCCTCTTTAAAATGATCTTGAATATGGGCTTTAATTTCTTCAGGATTTGAACATTCCACCCCATTAATCTTCAAGAAAAGAGTAGAATTTACCCTACCCCTGTTTGCTGCACATTGATGGAAGAACCGAGAATTAGGATCCCCTTCCAAAAACCATTTACACCTCGATTTCTGATGCCATATTCGTTCATCTCTTTGGTAAAGCTTCCATAATTTATTCTTTGCTATAACGATCCGATTGAAATCCACCGATTTTGCACTCTTCTGCCTCGCCAAATCCATCTCATGTATTAAATTTTCCAACTCTGTTATTCCTTTTGAGATTCCAAAATGCTTACTTCCAGACCATTCTTTAATAGCCACCTTAATATGTTTCAATAACCAAAAAATTCCTCTGCGCCTCTTCCTCCTCTTCAACTCCCCAATCTTAACTTTTATCATTTCCTGGAAGCTAACATCCTCCAACAAATAATTAAATAACTTAAAAGGCCGAGGCCCCCAATCAAACAAAACATTCTCCAACAAAAAAGGATTATGGTCAGAAATAGAACGTGGTAGTAATATTTGAGAAATTCTCGGAAACAAATTTAAAAACACCAAATCCACCAGAAACTTATCCAACCTCACAACTGATTGTTCCTCTCTATTATTTCCCCAGGTGAACGTACCCCCAATCATAGGAAGATCAATCAAATCCGACATTTGAATAAAATCCGAAAAAACCTTCATTGAATGAAAATTCTGATTCATACCTAGATTCTCTTCAGGAATCAAATAAGAGTTGAAATCTCCTCCTACACAAATAGGTCCAACAACTTGTTCAACAAACGACAACACTTAGTAAAAAAACCTTCCTTCTCCACTTCAATTGTAGGACCATAGACATTAACAAACCATCATTTAATACCTGAGTCATTAAATTTTCCTAAAACCGCAACAAATCTCCTATTCACAACTTGGTCCACAACATCAATCTTCTCTTCATTCCACAGAATAAATAACCCCTTGCAGTCCCCACTGAAGGAGCAACCACACTAGCTTTTAAGAAACTCCCTCCCACTCTCCTCAACAACGATTGGTTCATCAATTGCATTTTGGTTTCCTGCAGGAATACCACTAACGGCTTCTTTTCCCCTATCTTTCTCCTAACCGCCCTCACCTTCTCCTTCCTCCCTAAACATCACACATTCCAAGACAAACAAGAAAATTTTAACATTAATACAATAC